TATAAACTTTTACTTAATGACGGAGAAGAAAAAAATTGTAAGAGGAGTGTGACAGAGTGATACTTTATCGCCAAAACTATTTATAACAGCCACAAGTTACGCATTTTAACAATTAGAGGATATTAACATCGATGACCGTGTCAGTCATAGCTTTCGTGGAGGAGGAGCTCTGAACTGAGTACTGTAGGGGTTCTTCTGTACTTGACGGCAGACAGACTGGGCGGGGGATGTCCTCAACCTCGACACGGCACGTCCCATATGGCTGATAGGGAAAGTTCCTGCAGATATGCAGGACAGGTACGAATAAGGCATTGCCAAATAAGTACCCGCGGATCAACTGAGCATATGACATTAGGCAGCAGTAATGTCATTACTGGATTAAGGCTATGGGAAGTAAAAATTCTGTAGGCTTAATTCCAGATACTCACAGGCGTTACTCACATTATGAGTTAAGCGGCTGTGATACTGCGACAACAGCAGCGTCTGACCCAGAGTGGGCGGCTGCAAACAGAGTATGTTCCCAGAGTGGGCCGCTGAAACACACTTACCAACCCGTCTGGCCAGCGTGGTGAGTTCACGGCCAATCTACCCCCCTCTTATGACAGATACACGTAAGAATTGGCCCTGAGTCCCCAGCAGCTCCGGAATCACCTTCCAAGGCAATGGTAGGATCGAGGAAAGAGCAGAGGGTGCTAAAAATCCCTGGGTTTTAGAAGATTGCCAGAAAAAACGAAAACAAGCAACGAAACTGGATATTGCGACTTATAATGTCAGATCACTGATGAGAGACGAAAATCCAGCCGAACTGGAAGAAGTAAAAAAGATGAAATGGGATATATTAGGATTAAGTGAGATAAAAAGAAAAGGGGAAGCCTGTATGAAGTTGGAATCCGGGAATGTACTATACTACAAAGGAACTGAAGAAGAATCATTAGCTGGTGTCGGTTTTCTTATTTCTAATCAGCATGTCCATAAGATTAGACAATATATTGGAATTTCAGAAAGGATTGCGGCTCTAATAATGGACATATATAAATATATAAGTTTAAAGATCATACAAATTTACGCCCCTACATCATCACATACGGATGAAGAAGTGGATATATTCTACGAATTATTGACACAAACAGTGAACAAATACAAAAGCACCTACACAATCATTATAGTCGACTTCAATGCCAAATTAGGGAGAAAACTAGAAGAATCAGAAAATAAAATCGGCAACTTTGGATATGGAACACGAAACGAAAGAGGAGAAACATTAATGAACTATATGGAAACGAACGGTCTATATGCGATGAATACCTTTTTCAATAAAAAACCACAGAGAAAATGGACGTGGGTCGCGCCTAATGGTTTAACAAAAAATGAGATTGATTACATCCTATTCATTGAAAAGGGCATAGTACAAGACGTTACGGTCATAAACATGATTTCCGTAGGAAGTGATCACAGAATTGTTAGAGCCAAAATCAAAATTAACTCCACAACAGACAGACAAAAATTTAAACCATCTAAAAAAGAGATAGATACAGAACTTCTTAAAGAACGCAAAGAACAATACATAAACCAGCTAAAAAGAAGTGACATATCACAGCTAAAGGGTCTGCAACTAGACGAATTAAACGATAAAATAACAACAGAACTACTAGAAGCAGGCCTGAAGATTGCTAATAAACAAAAGCGAAAACAACAAAAAATTAGCGCTAAATCACAAGATATGCTAAAAAAACGACGACAACTACTGAATGATAACAAAAGAAAATAATAGAGAAGAACAAAAGTTTAAAAACAATGAAGACAAATATAGGAAAAAGAAAACTAATCATGCTTAAAACTGAGAACAATGAAGAAAGAGATCTAGGAGAAATAGTAAAAATCACAGAAAGATATTACACAGACCTATACAGTTCTAAAAATGACCCACCAATATCATCTAAACAGAATTTCACGAGGAAAATACAAAATGTTGGCTCAGAGATATTACCAGAAATAACTGAAGATGAAATCGAAAAATCCATAAACGACATGAAAAGAAATAAAGCGGCCGGTGAGGACAAAATACTGGCGGAACTGCTAAAAGAAGGAGGAGACACGATAAAAAAAATGCTAAAAATACTGTTCAACAAATGTCTGTTTGAAGGTAAAATACCAAAATAATAGAGAAATGCCAACACAATCTTAATACATAAGAAAGGAGACCGAACAGACCTAAACAACTACCGTCCTATTTCCCTTTTGTCACAACTATATAAAACCTTCACAAGAATAATAAACAACCGACTAACCTATAAACTTGATAACTACCAACCAGTGGAACAGGCCGGATTCAGAAAAGGATACAGCACAATCGACCATCTACATACGCTTAAAATCTTAATTGAGAAAACCAATGAATACAACCTTCCGTTGTACTTAGCATTCGTAGATTATGAAAAGGCTTTCAACAGCATTGAACACTGGGCGGTTGAAGAAGCTCTGGTCGATAGTAGAATAGATTCAAGATACCGACAACTGATACATGATATTTACCAAAACGCAACCATGACCGTAATTCTGGACGACAAATTAATAACAGATAATATAAAAGTTAAACGAGGAGTCCGACAAGGCGATATAATTTCACCTAAACTGTTTACCTTGACCCTCGAAGACATAATAAAATCAACAGATTGGGAAAACAGAGGAATATGTATTAACGGAAAATACCTAAATCACCTTAGATATGCGGATGATATACTCCTGATCTCCTCGGAACGACAAGAACTGGAATTAATGCTGAATGAACTTCATGAAAAATCACTGCAAAAAGGCCTAAAAATTAACTTCAACAAAACAAAAGTAATGACAAACACGGAAGACCAAGAGGCAATAAAAATAAAAACAGAAAAAATAGAACAGGTAAATGAGTATATCTATCTAGGACAAGCAATCAGAGCTAATAGAGAAAATCAAATAGCCGAAATATCGAGACGAGTAAGAATGGGATGGGCAGCGTTCGGCAAACTTTCTTACGTTCTAAAAAATCAAACAATCCCTTTATACTTACGAAGCAAGATATATAACTCCTGTATCATACCGGTGCTCACCTACGGAGCACAGACATGGACATTTACACAGGCCAATTTGGATAGGATAAGGAAGGCACAAAGAGCGATGGAGAGACAAATGTTGGGTGTATCACTTAGAGATAGAAAACGTAACCAGTGGATCAGAACCAGAACAAAGACAGTAGACGCGATAGAACAAGCAGCAAAACTGAAATGGAAATGGGCTGGACACAATGAACGTCTCCAAGACGGACGATGGAACAATGCCATCGGAAAGTGGCGTCCATACAATGCAAAGAGATCAAGAGGCAGACCACAGATGAGGTGGAAAGATGACATCAGGAAACAAGGAGGTCCCACATGGCAGAGAACAACTCAAGATAGGGAAAGATGGAGAGAACTGGGGGAGACCTATATCCAACAATGGAAGGATAGAGAATAGGTTCAAAAAAAACATCGATGAAAAAAAACTAAAACATATCTGATATGCCGATGACATTGTTCTTATAACAAACGGCCCAAGGGAAGCCAGAATTATGCTACAACGACTAAGGCAAGTAACAAAGAGAGTCGGTTTAAAGATATAAATAATACGGGAAAACAAAAATGATAACAAATTTCGTCCCCATGAGGTAATAGAAATCGAGAAATTGTTTATAAAAGTTGTGGAAGATATGTGTATCACAAAATAAGATTAACGACAGACAACCAAACATGTGAGCTAGGCAGAGGAGTAAGTTTAGGTTAGGTTGCATTCGTAAAAATAAGAGACGTATTTAAAACAAATGTCCCAATTCATTTAAAAAGAAAACGTAACTAGTACCTTCTACCAGTCCTAACATATGGAGCAAAAATCTTAACTCTCATAAGAACATAAGCAGAAATATTGAGAAAAACACAATGTAAAATGAAGAGGTCAATCCGAAGTTCGTAGACGAATCGGAGTGGAACACATTATCGAACGTATTATATTATAAAGACAGGTGGACAAAAAATGGCTTGAGTGGAGACTACGGGCAGATAAGCGGAGCTGGGGAATACCTCGAACGTGAAGGATCGATGATCCAAAAGAATTGGACCAATTAGATAGCATAGGCGCAGAATTACATTAAAATGTCAAGAAAAGGCCTATGTTCAACAATGACACATCAGGGTTGATTGATGATAAGTAAAGAAAAGTATCGTACTGTATGAAACCGAAATATATCAGTTCCAAGAAATTCCTAGAGCATCTCTTATTGCCTTCAGAAATGAACTTATAGCAAAGGTACGCCAGAAAATCAAGACTGGAAATAATTAACAACTAAATGCTACAAAGTGTAAAAATCACGATTGCAGACAGTTTATTTGTTACAGCCATGTTAAAGAATAGATGGAAGATGACTTTCTGAACAAATGTTAAAATAGATACCAGTTAAAAGAACGAAAAGATAAATACCAAAATAGACATGGTTAGTAAGCGTTTAAAGGACAATATCAAAGAAAAATTCTCAGACCGGAAAATGAATGTACAGACTAGAATGGAAACTAAGAACAAACGACGCTGTGAAAACGGGATATTTATATAAACTACTCTAGCTCTATATCTGTGTAGCTTGCGAATCTCTATAAATAATTCTTTTTAATAAAATCACTTTAAAATAACCTTTTGAGCTCTGATTTGACTGAGGGAAAAAAGTCGAAAAATAATGACAATCGTTTCATAAAAAACCGATTCGTTTCTTTGATCACAAAAATTTATATATAAATAGAATAATTTATGATAAAATGAATACGAAATATGCACAAACAGATATTATTAAATATATATTTTAACATTTATATAATTTAGAATTAAAAATTCAAAACTAATATTCACCTTTTTACCTCTTCCAACAAACAATAACAAACGCGATTTAAAAACAATACTCAATCACAAAATTTTTTGCACAATTTTTTATTAATACTTACACTTGACAAAATAAATTTTAACGATAATTTAATACTTTCTGGATTGGAGTACGAGTAGTTCGGTAGTAGAATACCAGTCCATTATTGTTTGAATGTCTTTCAAATTCACCCGCACATACACGTCGTACACACTGAGACGCGAATTCGTTTGGTACTAAGACGCCGAACTGTGGGACTCCAATTTATTTATTATCAACCTTAGAGGAACAACTTGTTTACATTGGTAATGGTATTAGAGCTCTTATTATTGTTTGCTTGGACTGCAGATTGCGGGGAAACCAAGATTTTCACGATAAAATTTTATCTGTGTGTTCATCATAAATATATATATATATATATATATATATATATATATATATATATATATATATTATATATATATATATATATATATATATATATATATGCATACCATTAAAATCGGCATAGAAAACAAACAGCCGAATTCAAAAGACGCATACAATTGTCTTGAGTAACTTTCGGCAAGTTAGGCTTTATTTTGAAGAATTAAGATATACCAATGTGTCTAAAACGTAGAGTTTATGAGAAATGTATATTGCCTGTAACTACATATGGACTGGAGACCATGGCCTTTACAAAGAAAACGTTAGAGCAGCTCAGTACAACCCAAAGAGCGATGGAGAGGGCCATGCTAAAGATTAGTCTGAGAGACAGAATTCGAAATATCGACATTTGTAAAAATACAAAGAGAACAAAGATTACTGATGTCGCAGAACGTATAGCAAGGCTTAAGTGGCAATGGGTCGGACATTAGGGAAAGAAATTACAACAAAAGACTGTTTCTAGAAATGTGTTTAATTAAAACTACACAAAACACCTTAAACAAAAGAGAAGACATTGAAAATATTAGTGCTATATACAGTAATCTTCTTTTAAATAAAAGAATAACAATATAAAAGTTCTTAAAAGTTACGCATATTAAAGGGATTATTCCAAGTTCAAATGAGATAAAATTTATTTTTATTTGTGTTTTTCTTTCTTAATTACTTAGTAACATAAACTCTGTTGCTTGTTTAATAACTGAAATATTATATCAAAATTTGCAATGAAGGTTTGCATAAACATAGAAACTTCCTCTGTCAAACTCACCTAAAATAAATATAAAAAATATAAGAGACATGGAAACCTTAGTAATAAGTTTTGACAGAACGAAAAAGTAAATCAAATTTAATACTGTCATTATGTTAATTAATTTTGCTAATTTTATAACACAATCCTCACAAGTGTAAGCCTATTGAAGATATAATAACTTCATTTTTCTAATGTAATTTTTTATGTTAATTTTTAGTACGTTTTGAAAAAGAGTACAATAAACTCGAAAGCTTAACAAACCTAAAAGAGTTTTACTTAAAGGCCAATATTGACTACTAAACCCAAGATATCCACTCACATAGTCACTAAAGCCCTTTCTAAGAATATATATATATATATATATATATATATATATATATATATATATATATATATATATATATATATATATATTTATCAAATTATTCTCGACCGTACTGTGTTAAATATTATTTGTAGTCTCAGCAATTGGTCTGTGTGAAATAAAACTCTATTTGTTATTTCTCAATATTTCGTCACGATTTTGTGACTTCTTCAGGAGAAAACTGTAAATTTATTTTAATTATTATATGTAAACAAAATGAATATTTCAATACTTACAACTTAAGATTAAAAATTTTAAATTTTAATAACATATCCAATTAGATAAATGACATTTTTTTGATTTAATTTATTTGGGAGTTATGGTAACCGCAATATTTTATAGAGTGAATTCCCATTGTATTATATTCTACTTTTGCACCTTATTATATGGATAATACTGTCACAATATGTAATTGTTTATTAAAACTTATTCGCTAAAAATTGTACAATGGGAATTCACTCTATAAAATATTGCGGTTACCATAACTCCCAAATAAATTAAATCAAAAAAATGTCATTTATCTAATTGGATATGTTATTAAAATTTAAAATTTTTAATCTTAAGTTGTAAGTATTGAAATATTCATTTTGTTTACATATAATAATTAAAATAAATTTACAGTTTTCTCCTGAAGAAGTCACAAAATCGTGACGAAATATTGAGAAATAACAAATAGAGTTTTATTTCACACAGACCAATTGCTGAGACTACAAATAATATATATATATATATATATATATATATATATATATATATATATAAGAAATACTGGATATTAGTGACTGTCGATGTTAAAGAAACACTCTTTTGACTTTTGGTCTAGCTTTCGGAATTGTTTAATTACTTTTTTTCAAGACATAGTCGTAGATTATTTATAGAAAGCTTTGACACTCAACATTAATAACACACATATAAAATATAAAATAATGGACAAAATACATTCTAAAATTTTTAAAATTTAGTTAAGGATAGTAAAACTTAATTTATGACATCTTTTTTGGGATTCTACAATTCACAAACCCGATATTTCTCTACGTCCCATTGGAAGTGCATACAACTACTGCCCTACACAACCATTGGCCAAAACTCTACAACCTTTCGCCGAAAATGCTTCATCCTTCGTCAAAAACTCATCGAAATTCATCGAACTTCTTAAACAATACCCTATGTCACCGTCAGACATTCTAGTAAATTACGATATTGTCTCACTCTTTACAAACATTCCTATAGATGAAACTCTTAACATTCTGAAAACTAAATACAGTATCCAACAAGACCACTTATCTCTCGTTAAACATTGTATGTCCAACACATATTTCATCTTCCAAAATCAATTCTACATTTAAATAAATTTTGCCCCAATGGGCTCCCTCTATCTCCAGTAATTGCCAATATCTTTATATAAGACTTCGAGACCCGAGCACTATCCACATCAATGCTCAAGCCTACATGTTGGCTACGATATGTTGACGATACATTCGTCATTAGGCACCATGGTAGGGATGCTTTGGTGTCTCTTCAAACCCATCTGAATAGTATACATCCTAGTTTCCAGTGCACGATGGAGATGGAAACTGATTTATCCCTACCGTTTCTCGATGTTTTCGAGAAACCCGAGAAAAGAAAAACCAATTCCAAGGTTTTCATTACTCTGTTTATCAAAAACCCACACATACCAATCGTTACTTGCATGCTAACTCTCATCATCCACCTTCACAAATTAATTCAGTCATTAATACCCTTGTCTCCAGATCAATACGCCTGTCCGATGATGCAAGTAGACCCGCTGGGCTCTCTTGTTTAAAACAAGCTCTCATCCAAAACGGTTACCATGAAAATCACATCAATAGAAGCAACCACATACATCAATCTTCCACTCAATCTCAATCCAAAGACTCAGACACTTATACGAAAGCTTTTCTTCCTTATATCAAAGGCGTCACTGACAAAATCGACAAAATTCTTGCGCCAAGAGGATATTTACCCCCCAGCAAAAACTTTCATTTCTTGTCCGATCAATCAAAGACAATATTCCAAATAAACAGCACGGAGTTTATGAAATTCCTTGTGCAGACTGTCCCCGATCCTATATAGGCCAAACAAATCGTAGAATAAAAAATAGGATTTATGAACATTCTATTTCTGTTTGCAATTTTGATCCAATTTCAGCTCTCAGTTAACACCATCTTCATACAGGTTACAATATTGATTTTGAAAACTCCAGAACCATAGTCCCCATTCGCTTCTATAAACCAAGAATTATCCGAGAAGCCATAGAAATAGAAAACAGGCCAAAATGTCTTAATAAAAGAGATGACGCCATACGTTTACCTTCTACATGGAGTCCTCTCATAAAGAAAATATCGCACCCTCCATCCTCGAATCAAAATCCCACTGTCGGAAATGTTGGCGCCAATCTCGCGCCAATCCCCACTCTAACCCCCACCTAGGCCAAGTCACCATCGACGGTGTAAATGAACCGTCCCCTGTTTCCAGTGGTAGTAGTAAAGTGAATAGTGAACAGTGCAGTAGTGTCTGAGTGCTCGAGAGACTGAGACCTCGGAAGCCCGAGGAAGACATCGGAGAGGATATCGAAAGCTCGGCCCAATGCATATCGACGCGGTTCAACCCGGAAGACTGGTGAGTTTAATATTAATTTTTGTAATAGTATTAATCTTAGCTCTAGAATGTATTTTAAAAGTCATATTAGTTAATATATTAGTGTAATTTCTAAAGTCCTGTGACGTGCTGGTTTGCATTTTAATGATTCCACATCGTAAGTTTTGATTTGTTTGTAAGTATGTTCTGTGTATTAATTGTTTTTATAATAAATTTAGTCTGCGACCAAATGCTCCTTTCACAAATTTTATTATAAATATGAAGATAACAATGCCCTTAATCCATCTTCACGTTTAGATTTACCGATTAATTTTTCACGTCCCAAACACTCAATCTCAAAATCCGATACCGAATGCTGAAATGTTACGTTTACAGCACCTTACTATATGGAATGGAGGCCTGGACCTTTAAAATCAACTCACTAAGGCGTTTGGAAAGTTTTGAAATGTGGTTATTTCGAAGGATGCTGAAAGTCCCCTGGACAGCGCATATGAGCAACGAGCAGGTCCTACACAAGATGGGTACCGACAGAGAACTCTTAAAAATAATGAAAACACGGAAAACCTCATATTTGGGACACATATACAGAAATGAGAAATACCAGCTACTGCAGCTTCTTATAGAGGGGAAGGTAGAAGGAAGACGTGGTCCTGGTAGACGGCAGGCGTCCTGGTTGAAGAACATTCGTGAGTGGACTGGTTTGGATTCTCAATCTTTAATAAGAAAAGCCAGGGACAGAAATGATTTTGCTGAGGTTATCGCCAACCTTCATTGAAGACGGCACCCAAAGAAGAAGATTAATTTTTTTTTAATTTATGATTTTTTTGCATCAACAATATAAATGGTATTGTACATACAATATGGGTTTTAGTGAGTAGTAAAATAAAATTAGATGGAGTCGTAAGTGATTTTTATAGTAGTACATATGCGCACGAGCAGTTTTGGCTAATTAACTTAACAGCAGCTAGTTAAAAACTTCTTTATTTATTGTTGACAACTACCGAGAAGGTATTCAAGAACTTATTTGTATTTATGAAGATCTATGATCTAAGACTACAATGGGAAATAATTGGTCGATGGTTGA